AAAATGAAAAGGTGACAGTCTTCTTAACAAACTTTGGTCCATGATCGCACATATATTGCAGAATTTTCCCATCTAATGCAGACACAAAAACATTCCGTCACTGATACCGATTTTGATTCGAAAAGTTCTCTTCAACAAATGTCTGCGATTTTTCCTAATGCCATCAGAAACATTTATTGACGCAGAGATTACGATGTGCAAGCCGAGAGGACAAACATAACCACGAAATTACGGCTGCGCTTTGCCGCAAAAAAAGGAACAGGAGGAATATGAATAGCTACACCAAGGATGAGGTTAGCTGCAAAGTGAAAAAAAGGAACTTACTCTTTGCGAATCGAACTGATTGGTTCCACTCTGTAATGGTACGATAGCATCAGTTTGTCTCAGCTGACGCAACGTCCACTTACCTAGAAGCAATGTTAATTCAGTCTCGAGCATTCGAAAAAAAAAATCTCTACAAAGATGAAAAGGATAAAAAAAGTCACCATCTCTAGTTCTTCTCTCATTCTGATCAGTGCTGGGTACTTCAACCGCAGCGACTTTGAGTCCAGCCTCTACAAGTAAATTGTAGATAATTTTTGAAACAATGGATTATACAGGTTCAAATTATGCAATGTATGCAAAGATAAAATGAATCTTGAGCTGAAAATGTGGAAAACTTTCGGCAGATAAAATTTTGAAGGGACCGTGACAGGCATTCCATGGCAATCTTACAGATCCAAACATGCTGAAGTGCAGCAAATGACATAAGAGTTACAGTAAATCAGTAATACAAGAGTTTTTACATACTGCAAAAAAACCAAAGAATTTTCATCCATAAGCTCACATATACAGAAAATAGGATACGCGTTAATAAATAACAACTTAGCATAGTTTATATAATAGCGTGATATCCGATTAATATTACGGACTGAATGCGCATAGAAAATAAAGTAGCTCACCGTGAGCGACGGCAGTCTGAGGAGCAGCCATGATTCGAACTGAGGTTTGCCTACCAGCCGAGAGCGCTTTTCTTCCCTCCTGACCTCTCCACCTCTTCGATCACAAACACGATCCGGCACTCTGTCATCTCCACGCTCAAGCACGATTTTCATCGCTGATCCAGCCACGAGGATCTCTTCGCCGAAAAGCTTTGTGAAGCAAGTTCTCGACGTTTGCCCGATCTGCGCCTCTGCTCAATGAGCACTTCCTCCCACACATACAGCCCACACCTCCACACCTCTTGAGAGGCAATGACTCACATCCGACATCTGGCGCTTCTTCCAAAATGACGTACGAGGGTATTTCCTGCGTATTCTCGTTGCTACTCCTGTGCTTTACAAACTGACAGCTGCCCATCCTATGTGACCGTCAACATCCGAGCCTACGTCTTTGAAGTGATGTTTGTGCTCAACAACTGAGGTTCGCAAGACGAAGTTTGGTGGTAGAAATTGGTCTGAAGAGCTGTCCGATTATAAAGTCTAGTAAAAGCGTAGATCAGAAATCAATATTTAGCACTTTTTCCAGTATT